TAATTTACATCAGTTTGAAAAACATATTATTAAATAGATGTCAGGAGCCATCCCTGGTGGTGGACAGGTCCTAGCAGAGGATGAAGGAGTTGGTGAGGGAAGGAAGTCAGTCAGGCCATGATAGTCAGGAGAATCTTGCAGCCTGGCTGGCTAGCAGCCAGAGTGCTTCTTTATTTATATGAATTTAGTAAGCAGAGATACATTCATGATGTTCCAAAACATAGATCATATCATTTTTGTTTTTGGACATGTGTTTCACTTCCTTTTGCTCATCTTTTAGTCATCATTAATAAACTATGATAGAAAAGAGTTATCATTTTCAATCATTTTACCTCAAGTTTTGACATCATTAATAAACAGAGTTATTATTCTTACTCATTAAACCCATAATCCAATTTTTGAGAAGCTAGAGGCATATGACAGCCTGTTCTCAGGCTGGTAGCTTTGGTCGCTTCAAGGACACTAGACCAAAACAAAAATCTTCAAGCCACACTGGGCATTTTGCCATATCCCAAGCAGTGTATTATTAACTCTAAATGGTCAGGGTGCCCAAGAAAAATCCTCAGGCCAAAGCTGCTGCAGTTATTATTCAAATTCTGGCATAATACAATGTTTATATTTTATATCTTTATAGAATTTGTCTATATGTCTAATCCTGGCATTCTGTTGCTCCTTGGTGACTCTGCATGTGCTAACTTTTCTCAGTAAAGGAGTTCCTGACATCTCATTCTTTCATCACCTTCCCACTCCATATGTTGTTCATCAATATGTCTCTATGTACGGCAGAGGTACATGTCACATAATTGTCTGAGTGTACAGTGGGAAGAGGCTTGTAATTTGAACTGTGGTCAACTCCTCTAGCTCACCTAATCTTGTTGACCTTTGAGTTTACTTTGTTTTGAATATCCTATTCCTGTATAATTACAGGGACAGTTGTTTCAAGAATGTCTCATAGCTTCATAAAGAGACTTCTGGCTTCTTTATGTGTGTCACAACCTCCAAGGCATAAGGAAGACCTTCAAGTAGTTAAAGTTATCTCACTAAAAGCAGGAGTATGCTCAGGACTTTCCGAGGAGAGCTTAGAAGCAGCATTCCTGGAAGAATGCATAAATTATTCATAAGAAATTTCCATCAATTCAATATCCCTAAATTGTACAAATATTAAAAGTCTCTCATGTATGCAACAGGTGGAGATGAAAACCAAAGGTGGCATGGCAGCCATTATGTGACTCAGTTGCTGGATCTTTGTCATGCAGCTGTGCTGGCTTTATGACTTTTACCATTTCATTCAAATATGACTGTGCCAGGGAATACCTGCCAACTCCTTAGGGACAGCTTCTGACCACACAAGATACCTGCTGACTGCAGAGGATCTGCAGAAAGGCAGGGCCACCTGCTGAGGGGCAGGGTCACATCCTGAGGACACAGGACACCTGCAGAGGGCACAGGCCTATCTGGTGAGGACACAGGATGCCCGCCCAGGGGGCAGGGCCACTTGTTGACAGATTTGGCCACCTGTTCAGGGCACAGAACACATGTTAAAAAGAAGAGACACTTGCTGAGGTCACAGGACACCTACAGAGGGCCCAAAACACCTGCAATAGGGCTGAAGAACCTGGTGAGGGCACAGGACACCTGCTAGGACACAGGACACCTTGAGTGGGGCAGAATCAACTGATAGGGCACAGGACATCTCCAGAATGTCAGGGCCACCTGCTGAGGATACATGGGCACCTGCAGAAGAGCAGAGCCACCTGCTGAGGGCATAGGACAACTACAGAGGACCAGGACACCTACAGAGGGCAAGGGTCACCTGCTGAGAGCACAGGACACCTGCTAAAGACACAGGACACTTGGAGAGAGGCAAAGCCACATGCACATTGGCAGGGTCACCTGCTGAAGGAATGGGAACATCTGCCAATGGCTTGGGGACATCTTCTGACCACACGAGACACCTGCTGACCACATAGGACACCTTCAGAATGGCAGGGTCATATGCTGAGGACACAAGACACCTGCAGAATGTCTGGGCCACTGTTGTGGACACAAAGCCACCTGATGAGTGCACAGAACACCTACAGAGGACACAAGATAGCTGCAGAGGGACAGGGGCAACTGATGAGGACACAGGACACCTGCTGAGTGTCAGGACCACTGCTGAGGAATCAGAGCCACCTGCTGAGTGCAGAGGACACAGGACAATGCTGAGGGTACAGGATATCTTTAAGGGGCCTGGTCACCTACTGAGGAACAGAGCCACTTATTGAGGGCAGAGGATGCCTATTAAATGTCGTGGCCACCTGCAGAAGATCAGAGTCAAGTGGTGAATGGCAGGGATACCACTTAAGGGCACAAGACACTTGTTGAGGGTCATGACCGCCTGCTGAGGTCACAGGACACCTGGTGAGGGGCACAGCCACCTGCTGAGATAGCAGGACACATTTAAGGAGCAGGGACACTTATTCAGGACTGGGAACACCCACTGAGGTCATGGGGACACATACATAAAGACAGAAGACACCAGAAGAGGGGTAAGGGCATCTGCTGAGGGCAAAGGACATATTCTAAGCAGGTGGCTAAGGACCAGGGCCACCTGCTGAGGGCATGGGGACATCTACAGAGGACACAGGACACACATGCAGAGGTTCTGGGACACCTGTGAAGGGAAGGGGAACACCTGTCAATGGAATGAAGATATCTTCTGACCACATAAGACATCTGATGACAGCAAAGGACTGTGGTGAAACATAGAAGCCAGGCAAGGTGGCACACACCTTTAATCAGGATCTCTGTGAGCTCAAAGCCACCCTGGACTATATGAGATTGACTCAGTCTAGGAGAGAAACAGAGCCAGGCAGTGGTGGCTCACACCGTTAATCCCAGCACTAGGAAAGTTGAGACAAGAAATGATATGGGTGGGTGGAGACAGGTATGCAAGGCATGAGGAGACAGGAACTAAGGCCTTTGGGCTGAGGAAAGCTGTTCAGCCTGAAGTGTCCTAGAGGTGGTAGGTGGCTTGTTCCTTTGTCTCTCTGATTTTTCAGCTTTCACCCCAATACCAGGCTCCAGGTTTTTTATTGTAAGACCATTTAGCAATTTGTGTTACAAAGGACATCTGCAGAAAGGCAGGCCCACCTCCTGAGGGGCAGAGTAGCCTGTAGAAGCACAGGACACCTACAGAGGACACAGAATACCTCCAGAGGTGCAGGGTCATCTGCTGAGGGGCAGGGTCACATCATGAGGACACAGAACACCTGCAGAAGGGCAGGGTCACTTGCTAAGGACACTGGACAGCTGCAGAGGGCATGGGGACACCTGCCGAGGGCCAGGGTCACTTGCTGACAGATTTGGACACCTGTTGAGGGCCCAGAACATGTATTAAGGAAAAGAAACACTCGCTGAGGGCACAGGACACCTAGAGAGGGGCAGGGTCACCTGAGAAGGCACAGGACACCTGCTGAGAAGCAGGGCCACCAGCTGAAGACCAGGGCCCTGTGCTGAGGACCAGGGCCACCTGCTGAGAACCAGGGCCACCTGGTGAGGACCAGTGCCACCTTATGAGGGTGTGGGGACACCTACAGTGGACACAAGACATACAGAGGGCCTGGGACAACTGCTGAAGGCAAAGGACGCCTACAGAGGATACTTCCAGAGGGGCAGGATCACCTGCTGAGTGGCTGGGCCACATGCTGAGGACACAGAATATCTTTAAGGGACCTGGCCATGTGCTGAGGTACAGGGCCACCTGTAAAGGGCAGAGAATGCCTATTACATGTCAGGGCCACCTGCAGAAGACCAGAGCCACGTGGTGAGGGGCAGGGATAAAGCTTGAGGGCAGAGGACACCTGGTGAGGGGCACAGCCACCTGGTGAGGGCACAGGACATTTAAGGATCAGGGACACTTATTCAGGACCGGGACCACCTGCTGAGGTCATGGGGACACATACATAAAAACAGAAGACACCAGAAGAGGGGTAAGGGCATCTGTTGAGAGCAAAGGACACATTCTAAGAGGCAGGGCCAACTGCTGAGGGCATGGGGACATCTACAGAGGACACAGGTCACCTTCACATGGACAGGGAACCTGCAGAGGGTAGACACACACGCATCTCCTGCTGCACACAGGGTCTCCTGCTGCTGTACACAGGGGTCTCCTGCTGTATACAAGGTTCTCCTGCTGCTGTACACAGGGGTCTCCTGCTGTTTACAGGGTCTCCTGCTGCATACAGGGTCTCCTGCTGCACACAGGGGTCTCCTGCTGTATACAGGGTCTCCAGCTGCTGCACACAGGCATCTCCTGCTGTTTACAGTAGCCTCCTGTTGTACCACCAGGGTCCCCCTATCCAGGAGGGCCTCCTGTCACCCTGACTGAGGCTGCCAAGCCGCTCCCTGGGGTGCAGTCCCCAGAGGAACAGCACCGCCCTCCAGCACAGGCCTAGGCAGAGGACATGGGGAGGGTGGGGAGGCAGGGAGTGGCGGTCGCCACCCAGCCTGGGGCCCCTGAAGATCCTCACCTGGTGAGGTCTGTGAACACAGAGGCCACCGGAGTCCCGGCAGGGAGCCACAGGTAGCTGGGGAGGTGGGGGGCTCCCTGGTACCTCCTTCACGTGAGCGCGGGGCAGGGCGGGGAGTGCGAGCCCCAGGCTGTCTGGGGTCGCCGTGCTGACTCAGGGCAGGAGTGCGAGCCCCAGACTGTTCTGAGGTCCCAGTGCTGACTCAGGACGTGAGTGCGAGCCCCAGGCGTCCCGGGGGTCCCCAGTGCTGACTCAGGGTGGGAGTGAGAGCCCCAGGCTGTCCGGGGGTCCGGTGCTGACTCAGGGTGAGAGTGCGAGCCCCAGGCTGTCCGGGGGTCCCGGTGCTGACTCAGGACGTGAGTGGGAGCCCCAGGCTGTCCGGGGGTCCGGTGCTGACTCAGGGTGGGAGTGCGAGCCCCAGGCTGTCCCAGTCCGGTGCTGACTCTCTCCCCGCAGATGTCACTGCCCCCCTCCCACTCCCTGCAGCATGGCGTCGCCCCAGCCCCACATCCAGGCCATAGTCACTGAGAGGCATCGGATGGGCGAGTGTCCCGTGTGGGAGGAGGCCACGGGACAGCTGGTCTACGTGGACATCCTCGCGCAGACCGTGTGCCGCTTGTGCCCGCACAAGGCGCAGGTGCAGACGGTGCGGCTGGGTGAGCAGGGGACGGTTGTGGGGCGGGGAAGGGGAGAGTGGAGGGAGACCGTGGGGCAGAGTGGGAGACCGTGGGGGAGGGGGTCCTGAGTCTGGGGGAGCCCGGGGCGGGGGGGAGTGGGAGACCGTGGGGGGGCGGAGCGGAGCCTGGGGGAGCCTGGGGGCAAGGGGGAGTGGGAGACCGTGGGGGGGGGGGGGGTCCCTGAGCCTGGGGGAGCCCGGCGCGGGCGTGGGGAGTGGCAGACCGTGGTGGGCAGAGAGGGAGCCTGGGGAAGCCCGGGGCGGGCGCGGGGAGTGGGAGACCATGGGGGGGGGTCCTGAGCCTGGGGGAGCCCGGGGCGGGTGTGGCGAGTGGGAGACCGTGGGGGGCGGAGCGGAGCCTGGGGCAGCCTGGGGCAGGGGGAGTAGGAGACCGTGGGGGCCCGTCACCCCCGTCACGGCCCCCGTCCCCCTCCAGGAGACCCCGTGGGCTGCGTGGCTCTGCGCGACAAGGACCCGGGCAGCTACGTGGTGGCCGCGGGCACGCGCGTGGGACTGCTGGACTGGGACTCGCAGGACGTGCAGTGGGTGGCGCAGTTGGACGGACAGACGCCTGGCATCCGGGTCAATGACGGCAAGGTGGACCCCGCGGGGCGCTTCGTGACAGGTGACACGGGGTCACGGGGGTCATGGGGTCACGGGGACACAGGGTCACCCGGTCACCATGACTTCTCCCACCTGACCGTGACCCCTGACCCCCGCCCTCTGACCCTGAAGGCACCATGCCCGAGCCCCTGGCCCCCGGGGTGTGGGAACCCGCGCAGGGAGCCCTCTACTCGCTCCACGGGGACCACGTGGTGCGGAAGCTCGCCGACCGGCTGGGCATCTCCAACGGGCTGGACTGGTCACCTGACCAGCGCACGTTCTATCACGTGGACAGCCTGGACTACGCCGTGTACGCCTATGACTATGACGTGCAGGCGGGGACCATCGGTGAGCGTGGGGGGCGACTCTTGTCCCCCATGTCCCTTCTGCCCCGTGTCCCCCCCAGCGCCCACACGTGTCCGTGTCCCATGTCCTCGCAGAGAACCGCCGGCTCCTGCTCCAGCTGCCGCGGGGCGGGGCGATGCCCGACGGGCTGTGCGTGGACAGCGCAGGGTCGCTGTGGGTGGCGTGCATCGACGGGGGCCGCGTGATCCGCGTGGACCCGCACACGGGTGCGTGAAGTCAGGGTGTGTGGGGGTGAGGTGTCGCGGCGGGGTCACGGTGTGACGTCATGGCGTGCTGCAGGGGGTCACATTGCGTGACGTCAGGGTGTGCAGGGTCGTGCGTGGGAACCTTGGAATTCCCCGTGTCCCGCGTCACTTCCTGCTGACCCCCCCAGGGTCACGCGTGGGAACCCTGGAATTCCCCGTGTCCCGCGTCACTTCCTGCTGCTTCGGTGGCGCTGACTATGCGGATCTCTTCGTGACGTCAGCAGCCGACGGGCTGAGCGAGGAGCAGCTGCGGGGGGGAGCCGCAGGCGGGGTCACGTGTTCAAGGTGGGCGCGTTGGGGGTCACGTGTTCAAAGCGGGGGGGGGGGGGAGGGCTGCGTGTCCCAGCATGCCCCACGGGCGTGGGGGTGGGTCCCGAGTTGTGGGAATTTCCCGCATGACGTCAGGCCTGCCCCCCACAGGTCTCCGGCCTGGGCGTTCGCGGACGCGCGTGTTTCTCCTTCGTAGGCTGAGGCCAAGTCCTGTCCAGGTGACCCCCGTGACCCCCATGACCCCTGCGAACCCCCGTGACCCCCATGACTTCCCCATGTGAAACCCGTGACTCCCGTGTCCCCATGACTTCCATCATAAATCCTGCTGTGACGTGTTTCCACGAGTGTCCGCGTCCGTGGGGTCAAGGATCATGGGGTCACTGCAGACCACGGAGAGGACTGAGCCGGGTCCTGATGCTAAGTACACAGTACACAGAACTTGGGGTCCGAGGACTCAGCACAGCACTCGTGCTATGTACACAGCTAAGTACTCAGGAGGACTTAGACAAGCAGTGCACAGACTGGAACAGAAACTGAGTCCGTCCTTTTCTGCAGCACAGCACTCATGCTGAGTACACAGTACACAGTACCCCCGGGGTCCGAGTACTCAGCACAGCACTTGTAAGTATATACAGTACACAGCTAAGGACTCATGAGGACTTAGATAAGCACTCAGACAGGAAACAGATGGGCGGGGCGTCCTGTTCTGCGTTGAGTACTCAGCAAAGCACTCATGCTAAGTACACAGTACACAGCTAAGTAGTCACAAGGACTTAGACAAGCACTCACAGTCAGGAAATAGATGGGTGGGGCAGGTTGAGTACTCAGCACAGAGATGTGAACACTCATGCTGAGTACACAGTACACAGTACACAGTACCCACCCGACTACTCAGCACAGCTCTCGTGCTATGTACACAGTACATAGCTAAGGACGCATGAGGACTTAGACAAGCACTCACACACAGGGGCGGGGCCGTCCTGTTCAGCGGGTTCAGCAGGTACTCAGTACAGCACTCATGCTATATACACAGTACACAACTAACTACTCACGAGGTCTTAGACCAACACCACGCAGCTCTTCAACCTTCTTAGTTTTCAGTACTCAGCATGGTGATGTGGGCACTCAGGAGGACTGAGACAAGCACTCACAGCTCTTCAGCCTTTTCGGTTTTCAGTCAAGTTGTGCATCTGATACCATGAACATGATTACAAGGAGTGACTCCAGGGTCACGTGGTTACCGGGATCACGGGGTCATCAAACACTCCAAACAAGGACACTGTTGTCCCCGTGTCCCCCCCTCCTGTCCTCCCCCCGTGTGCCCCCTCCTGTCCTCCCCCCCGTGTCCCCCTCCCTCCGTCTCCCCCGTGTCCCCCTCTCTCCGTCTCCTCCCCCGTGTCCCCCCTCTTCTCCCCCGTGTCCCCCTCTCTCCATCTCCCCCGTGTCCCCCCTCCCTCTTCTCCCCCCTCCCTCTTCTCCCCCGTGTCCCCCCTCCCTCTCCTCCCCCCGTGTCCCCCCTCCCTCTCCATCTCCCCCCCGTGTCCCCCTCCCTATCTCCCCCGTGTCCCCCCTCCCTCTCCATCTCCCCCGTGTCCCCCCTCCCTCTTCTCCCCCCGTGTCCCCCCTCCCTCTCCATCTCCCCCGTGTCCCCCCTCCCTCTCCATCTCCCCCGTGTCCCCCCTCCCTCTTCTCCCCCCGTGTCCCCCCTCCCTCTTCTCCCCCCGTGTCCCCCCTCCCTCTTCTCCCCCCGTGTCCCCCCTCCCTCTTCTCCCCCGTGTCCCCCCTCCCTCTTCTCCCCCGTGTCCCCCCTCCCTCTTCTCCCCCCGTGTCCCCCCTCCCTCTTCTCCCCCCGTGTCCCCCCTCCCTCTTCTCCCCCGTGTCCCCCCTCCCTCTTCTCCCCCGTGTCCCCCCTCCCTCTTCTCCCCCCGTGTCCCCCCTCCCTCTTCTCCCCCCGTGTCCCCCCTCCCTCTTCTCCCCCCGTGTCCCCCCTCCCTCTTCTCCCCCCGTGTCCCCCCTCCCTCTTCTCCCCCCGTGTCCCCCCTCCCTCTCCATCTCCCCCGTGTCCCCCTCCCTCTCCATCTCCCCCGTGTCCCCCTCTCTCCATCTCCCCCGTGTCCCCCCTCCCTCTTCTCCCCCCGTGTCCCCCCTCCCTCTTCTCCCCCCGTGTCCCCCCTCCCTCTTCTCCCCCGTGTCCCCCCTCCCTCTTCTCTCCCGTGTCCCCCCCTCCCTCTTCTCCCCCCGTGTCCCCCCTCCCTCTTCTCCCCCGTGTCCCCCCTCCCTCTTCTCCCCCCGTGTCCCCCCTCCCTCTTCTCCCCCCGTGTCCCCCCTCCCTCTTCTCCCCCCGTGTCCCCCCTCCCTCTTCTCCCCCGTGTCCCCCCTCCCTCTTCTCCCCCCCGTGTCCCCCCCTCCTTCTCCCCCCGTGTCCCCCCTCCCTCGTGTCCCCCTTGTTCCCCTCCCTCTGTCTCCCCCGTGTCTCCCCCTCTGTGTCCCCCCCGCCCGTGTAGCCTCCTCCCCCACCCCCACCCCACCCCACCCCCCCAGCCACAGGATCCCCAGGACTCAGCTGGGAGCAGAGGGGTTAAAGGGTTAGAGTGGTAACAGCCGGTCACAGCCAGTCCGACCCCCGACCATGACCAGGACAGAGCAGGGACAGGAGGGACTGACGTCACCCCAGGACCAGGCAGGGCGGCGCTGACGTCACAGCTCAGCACACAGTAGTGTCCTGACTGTGCGGTTACCGCGGCCACCACGCCCCCCCACATCGAGGGGAGGGTCATCACGGCCACGCCCCCACAGGGACCATGTCACTCAGGGCACAGGGCACAGGGCACAGGGACAGGAGGGTGACACACGGGCCTGGTGTCACCAGCCACACACCCGCGGGGACTGAGCCCCTGTCTCTGTCGGGATGTGTCACCAGGTAAAGTCGCCCGGGGAACTCACATCAGAGTTGCCCACCGAGGGCTCCCTTAGGCTGGTGCCACCTGTCCCTCAGGGAAGGGACTGGGGGGAGGGGAGGGAAAGGGGTGTCACACGGGGTGGGGGGGGAGGGGACAGTGTTGCCACCAAGGACTCTCTTATGGTGTCACCTGGTGCTCAGCTCCATCCTGCCTGGGGTTCCAGCTCTGCTTGAGTTCCTGTCCTCAGGGCTTCTGATGATGAAATGATCCCTGGAACTGCGAGGGACTTTTTTCCGGCCTGGTTTCATCCCAGCAGTAGTAACTCTGACTAAGACAGTGTGGTCTGAATCTACAACCTCCAAGGTCCGCCTTGCATGTAACAAACACTGTCATTCGATGTTGCTGCATGGTTTTCTACTGTGGAAACTACTTTTTCTTTCAAGACAGGGTGTTTCTTTGTAGCCCTTGCATGGACCTAGCTCTGTCTATCAGGCTGGTCTCTAACGACAGAGATGGCCTGCTCTGACTCCTGGGTGCTTCAATTAAAGGCATGTACCAACACTGCCCAACTGGAAATACTGTTTTATCCCTGTCCCGTTGAATGCTGGGGCTGCTTCCACTGTTTAGCTGTTTAAAGAAGGTCACTTTGTTCAAGCTTGTACATACAGCCTGCGCTACAAATGTGACAGTTTTTCCTGTCATATCACAGCTACATTCCAGCATGTGCATGCCTGGACCTTCCTGGATGATGCTCTTGTCTCTAGTGCATGGGACTCACTATGCTTCTCAGGTGTTCTCCACTGGTGACCTGGAAGCCTTTGCAATATGAGAGTGTTTTTTCTGCTGTGCTTGGACACCTGTCCACATGTCCATTGGTCTCCTTTCAGTTTTGCTGTCTGAAGATCCAGGAAGGAAGTAGCAGCTAAGAGGGTCATGGACAGGCAGTGAAGCCAGACACCTGGGAAGAAGGACGAGGAAGTACAGACTGCAAGAATTTGAACACAGCCATCCAGGCTGCAGTCATGACAGCCTTCCTTTACCTGTGGTGGCCAGCTGTGCACACCTCCCTTGGAGATTAATCAACCTCTTTAGCTCACAGTGAGCCTGGACAACAGGAGCTCCTCACTACATCATCTGCTGTAGCACGAATCTTAAAAGGTCTTATTAATAAAAACAAACCCAGTGCCAGTTATTGGGATGAACACTGGAAGATCAGAGAAGCAGAATAAGCCACAGCCACCTCATTTCACCAGCTCCTCAGCTGATCCTGTTTCCTCAAACTGGAAGCCTCTGTGTCCTCATCTGAATGGCTCTCAGCTGAACTGTGCTGCTCAAAACCTAAAAGCTTAACCAGCCAAATGCTTCTAGTTTCTGATCTTCACGCCTTATATATCTTTCTGCTTTCTGCCATCACTCCCTGGGATTAAAGGCTCACTTCTTGGGATTAAAGGCATGCGTGTGCTGTTTCCAATGTGGCCTTGAATTCACAGAGATCCAGATGGATTTCTGCCTCTGGAATGTTAGGATTAAAGGCGTGTGCTACCACTGCCTAACCTCTATGTTTAATATTGTGACTGTTCTGTCTCTGATCCCAGTTAAGTTTATTAGAGTGCAAAATATTTTGGGGAACACAATACCACCACAATCTGCATTGAGTGTGTCATCCTTGGCAGCAAGTGATTTTCCCTCTCAGCAAGCTTCCCAGCTCAAGGTTGAGGGCTTTGAAGCCCATGGGAGGTTGATAGATGAGTCAGATTTCAGCTGGGCACATTGTTTCACACTTATAATCCCAACACATTGAATATGGAGATGAAGACTTTGCGTTTCAAGTCATGTTAGTCTACATTGCAAGACTCTATCTCAAAACAAAATGAATAAACATCACACATGCCCATTTTGGTGGTTCACACCTTAGATCTCAGTACTTAGCAAGCTGATGCAGGAGGATCACCACTAATTTTAAACCAAGCTAAGGTATCCTGTGAGACCCTGTGTCAAAAAAAAATTCCCTTCCCAAAAGGGTTCAGATTGGCGTTCTTTTTACTATTTCCTAAACCTAACAAATGTCCACCCACTTGTTTGGGATTGCTGAATGAAATCAATACCTAAAATAAAAAAGGAGGACTGGTTAGCACTTGTAGATTCTAACTCCAGAATTCTCAAGGGGAGAAATTTTATCTGAGCACTTTTTATTCCTTTAAATAAGTCAGCCTGTTAAAAATACTCTTGAATTATTTTTTTATGAAATACACAATGATATACTTACAAGAGCCTTTAGAAATTAACATAAGTAAAATCTAAGAAAAAAAATTTCAGAAAATAAATTCAACACACCCAAAACAAAAAGTCAGTGGTGTTTTCAAGGATTATTTAAACTATGTTGCACTTTTATTTTTGACACAAGCTCAGAAAAATAATGAATCAAAAAAGAATTAAATG